TCATGACCAGTTTTGGAAAAAATATTGAAAACCAGATAAAAGAAAGGAAAATCCTCCCATTACTATCATTTTATTGACAATTTTTATATTAAAACATACTTATAGCCAAAACCGGTTTGAGTCAGTGGATAGAGCTTCGGCCTGCGGACTGAAGGGTCCCAGGTTTGATTCCAGGCAAGGGCATGTACCTTGGTTGCGGGCACATCCCCAGCAGGGGGTGTGCAAGAGGCAGCTGATCAATGATTCTCTCTTGTGGATGTTTCTGACTCTCTATCCCTCTCTCTTCCTCTTGGTAAAAAATCAATTAAATATATTAAAAAATTTTTTGAATATTAACCCCTTTTGAGGTCTGTTCGGGTCTAGTAGGTCCTTTATCATGTCTAGTCTGATCCTTTGCCCATGTATTAATTGTATTATTATTTTTTGGTGTTGAGTTTTGTAAGTTTTCTATAAATTTTGGGTATTAGCCTATTATCAGTTGTATCAGCAAATATATTCCCCCATTGAGTGGTTATCTTTTTATTTTGTTGAAGTTGTCCTTTGCTGAGCAAATTCTTTTTAATTTGATGTGTAGTCCCATTTTTTAATTTTTTCTTTTGTTTCTCTTGCCTTTGGAGATATAGTAGGAAAAAAAAAATTGCTACGAGAAATGTCCGAGATTTTACTGCCTTTGTTTTCTTTTAGGATTTTTATGGTTTTGAGTCTAACATGTAAGTCTTTAATACTTTTGAGTTTTTTCTTGTGTATGGTGTAAGAGTGTGGTCTAGTTTCATTGTTTTGTACATATCTGTTTAATATTTCTATTGCCATTTATGGAATAAAATATTTTTGGGAAAGAATACAGTAATGGTATTAGTAAATAAAAAAGAAAAACACAATTTTTTGCAATACATATATTTACATATTTTAATTTATTGTTCAAATTATATAGTCACATTTTGAAAAATTTTAAAAAGTATTAATAGTCTTTCCTACTCCTCTTCACCATTTGCGTAGTTCCTCAACAACTTTCCTACCACCAAGCCAATTGCTGTTATTAGTTTTTTGGCATATGCAGATACATATGAATAATCAAATGTTTCCTCCAGTTTAAAAAAAAATTGATTTTGGAGAGAAAGGGGGGGGGAGAAAAATGTTGCCTCCCTGTGCACCCTAATAGGGTCAACCTGTAACCTGAGAATGGGTCCGGACTGTGACCTTTCAGTGCATGGGAGGACACTCAACCAACTGAACCACACTGGCCAAGGCTCCAATTTTTATTCTGGATGAATATTACACACAGTCTTACATCCTAATTATTTTCACAGAACATTTTATCTCTTAACAGTATAGTCAAAAGGGTTTTGTTTTATTTATCCTGTTATATACAATTAGTCACCAATTGATGGACTTTCTAATCATCTGCTTTTATGACTAACTAGAGGCCCGATGCACAAAATTTGTGCAAGAATAGGCCTTCCTTTCCCCAGCTGCTGGCACCGGCTCTTCTCTGGCACCCAGGACCCAGGCTTACCTCTGGCTGCCAGCAGGTACCCAGAAGCCAGGCTTTCTTCACAGTACTGGCTTCATTGGGAAGGTTGTCAGGTCTAATTATTATAGTACGCTTTATTATTATAGACTAAAGGCCCAGTGCACTAATTTGTGCACCAGTGGGGCCTGTTGGCGTGGCTTGTAGGATTTTGCCGATGCCAACTCTTGGACATCTCCTGAGGGATCACCAGTTGTGAGTGGGTGCAGGCCAGACTGAGGGACTTACCTGTGTATGTTCAGGGCTGGAGAGGGATTCTGGAGGTTGGCCAACTGGAAGGGACCATGGGAGGGCTCCAGGATGTGTCCTGTCTGTCTCGCTCAGTCCTGATCTGCTGGACCCCAGCAGTAAGCTAACCTACCAGTTGGAGCATCTGCCTCCTGGTGGTTAGTGCATGTCATAGTGACTGGTCGACATATTAACTGCCTCTTGGTGGCCAGTGCACATCATAGGGAGCAGTTCAGTGGCCTTACCATATAATTAGCATATTATGCTTTGATTGGTTGAATGGACAACCAGACGACTGGACACTTAGCATATTAGACTTTTATTATATAGGACTAGAGGCCTGATGCATGAAATTCATGCATGGGGAGTGGCGGTGAGGGGTGTGTGTATCCCTCAGCCCAGCCTGAACCCTTTCTAATCTGGGACCCCTCAAGGGTAGCAGACATCCCTCTCACAATTCAGGACTGCTGGCTCCCAACTGCTTGCCTGCCTGTCTGCCTGACTATCCCTAACCACTTCTGCCTGCCAGCCTGGTCACCCCTAACCACTTCCCTGCCAGCCTGATCTGACACTTACCTGCTCCCCTGCTGGCCCAATTGCCCCCATCTGCTCTCCCCTGCAGGCCTGGTCCCCCTCAACTGCCCTCCTCTGCCAGCCCGATCACCCCTATCTGCCCTCCCCTGCAGGCCTGATTGCCCACAATTGCCCTCCTCTGCCAGCTATCTTGTGGCGGCAATATTGTGTCCACATGGTGGCGATCATCTTGTGTGTTGGAGTGATGGTCAATTTTCCTATTACTTTTTTATTAGATAGGATGTTTTTAAAAAAAAATATATTTCATTGATTTTTTTACAGAGAGGAAGGGAAAAGGATAGAGAGTTAGAAACATTGATGAGAGAGAAACATCGATCAGCTGCCTTCTACACACTTCCCACTGGGTATGTGCCCACAACCAAGATACATGCTCTTTTTTTTTTTTTTTTTTACATTTTATTTATTTATTGATTTTTTACAGAGAGGAGGAGAGAGGGATAGAGAGCTAGAAATGTCGATGAGAGAGAAACATCGACCAGCTGCCTCTTGCACACCCCCTACTGGGGATGTGCCCGCAACCAATGTACACGCCCTTGACCGGAATCGAACTCGGGACCTTTCAGTCCGCAGACCGACGCTCTACCACTGAGCCAAACCGGTTTCGGCAAGATACATGCTCTTGACCTGAATCGGACTTGGGCCAAACCGGTCAGGGCAATAGGCTGTTTTTTTTTTGTTTGTTTGTTTTTAAAAAAAATACATTTTATTGATTTTTCACAGAGAGGAAGAGAGAGGGATAGAGAGTTAGAAACATCAATGAGAGAGAATCATCGATCAGCTGCCTCTTGCACACCTCCTACTGGGGATGCGCCCGCAACCAAGGTACATGCCCTTGACTGGAATCGAACCTGGGACCTTTCAGTCTGCAGGCCGACGCTCTATCCACTGAGCCAAACCGGTCCCGGCAATAGGCTGTTTTTTTTTTTTTTTATGTGCCATTTTGCTTGTATGCAAGTACATCTGTAAGATTATTAATTCCCAGAATTGGAACTGTATGGTAAACGGGATTTTATAATTAATTTTGGTAGATAATTCCAAATTATTCTCCCTAATGTTTGTACCAAATTATGTGCCCAGCCACAAATAACCATAAAAGCTGTTTTCTACATCGTTGGTAACCAATAGGTGAAAATTGATGTCTCTGCGCATGTACATTTCCCTTTTTTATAAGTAAATCTGACCATCTTTTCATATTTTAAAGAGCTATTTGTTCTCTTCATATACTTTTTCTGTTTGGTGATCTGTTTTTTCTCTTTTTAAAAAAATACATTTTTATTGATTTCACAGAGAAAGGGAGAGGGGGAGAGAGAGAGAGAGAGAGATAGAAACATAAAAAATGAGAGCGAATCATTGGTTGCCTGCCTCTGGCACACTCCTCATTGGGGCTTGAACCTACATGCCTGGGATTCGACCTGTGACCTCACTGTTCATATATAGGTCCATACTCAAGCACTGAGCCACTGTAGCCAGGTGAGGACCTATGTATTTTTAGTTAGTTATTTCTCCTGGCTTGCAGCCTTTCTTGTTTTTGCTGAAATGTGGTGAACTAATTCCCTTCCTACCCTTGGTTGTCTGTGAATATAAAACTATACTTCCAGCCTTCCGAGTTTGTGAAAAGCAGCTTTTTCCTCTCTGCTGCTTTCTGTAAAGTAGGCAAAAATCCCTTGGGTGGCAAACATACCCTGTTTCCCTGAAAATAAGACAGTGTCTTATATTAGTTTTTTCTCCCAAAGTTATGCGAGGTCTTATTTTCAGGGGATGTCTTATCTTTCCATGCACTAGATCTTATTTTCGGAGGATGTCTTATTTTCGGGGAAACACGGTAGCTGAAAGCTACACACCAACCTCGATTTTTATCCTTTTCCAATTTTGAATCATTAACTCCTCACTATCATATCAGCTCTTTGATATCTTCAGGCATATTTTGAGAATTAAAAGAATTAATATCAATTGTTAGAATAATTTTTAAAAATACGTTTTTATTGATTTCAAAGAGGAAGGGAGATGGGGGAGTGAGAGAGAAACATCAATGATGAGAGAGAATCATTGATTGGCTGCATCCTGCCACCCCCTACTGGGAATCAAGCCCACAACCCAGGCATGTGCCCTTGACCAGAATTGAACCCAGGTCCCTTCATTCTGCAGGCTGATGTGCTATGCACTGAGCCAACCCAGCTAGGGCAATTATTAACGGTATTTTAAGTGAAATATTAAAGTAATTAATGTTAATAGTAAAATATCAATTAAAATATTGACATTAATATGAAAGTAAACAATTTAATGTTGACATTCAAGATTAAATTATTAAATTTTTTATTTTTGATATTTAACTATAAAAATTCTCATTTTTACAGTTGTTCTCAGAAGTATTGTTGATGTGAGTTATTTATAAGAAGTCAGTCAGTGCCAGAACCTGAATTTTAAAATGTTTTTCTTATTTGTGTTACTATGCATTCAACTAAAGGAATGAGTAAGAGTGCTTTATTAGTAGAGTTTTGACTATTCGGTCAATAATGAGATTTTATTTTGTTGTATATTTGCGTAGGTAAGCACTTAATGGATCTCTTTAGATAGTCACTAATTTTATGTATCTTTGAAAAACCTTCATTGAAAACTGGAAAACTATGTTATCTTTATTTATTTATTTCAGGTTGGGCTCATGTGGTTTGTGCCCTGTATATTCCAGAGGTACAATTTGCCAATGTTTCTACAATGGAACCAATTGTTTTACAGTCTGTTCCACATGATCGTTATAATAAGGTACAGTAGATATTATTCTATTGGTATTTGCATATAATTTTTTTTGTTTTGAAGCTGGGAAATGTAAAGGAATTTTTAAAATTTTGTTTTATTATAGGCCTACATTAGAAAATTGAAATTAAAGGTCTTCATCAAATCCCAGAGATATTTGGACAAAGTATAATTACTATGATAAATTACAATTATTAAAATACATTACTAAGGTCCCTGGAGTACAAACAAATAAACAAACAAAACTATATTACCTTTTTTTTTTTTAAAAAAAAAAACTGTATTACCTTTTTATTTAAAAAATATATTTTATTGATTTTTTTTACAGAGAGGAGGAGAGAGGGATAGAGAGCTAAAAACATCGATGAGAGAGAAACATCAACCAGCTGCCTCTTGCACACCCCCCACCGGGGATGTGCCCACAACCAATGTATATGCCCCTGACCGGAATCGAACCTGGGACCTTTTAGTTTGCAGACCGACGCTTTACCACTGAGCCAAACTGGTTTCGACTATATTACCTTTTTATATTCATCTAGGTATTTAATATTCTAACATTTACCAGACATTTTACTCCTTATGGATTTTTCCTTTAAGAATTATTGAAATTCTGTGTTCTTTCAGATAGCAAGGTTCTATTAAGTTTGAATTAATTACTATTTGGTATAATACTCATTATGATATCATACATCCTTTCTTAAAAGATAATCCTGTTGCAGAATATTTCTTGCTGTTCTCCCTTCCTCAAATTATTTTCTACCACCACAATAGGATATTTATTGTTAGCTTTATTTTTTTAAAATATATTTTATTGATTTTTTTTTACAGAGAAGAAGGGAGAGAGACTGAGAGCCAGAAACATGGGACCTTTCAGTCCATAGGCTGATGCTCTATCCACTGAGCCATACCGGCTTCGGCTTATTGTTAGCTTTTTTAAAACCTTAGTTAATGTTTGCTGTTTTCTCTTAATATATTTTTTAAAGTTCATAAATATATATTATTGTTTGATTCTCTTTTACATCTTAGATGATTTTTCCACTACCCACTGTGCTGTTTAGTGTTACCATTTATTTTAAGTACCTGTTGATTTATTCCATCAGTGGGAGAAAGTATTTATTCCATCAGTGGGAGAAAGTATTACTGCAGCCAGTTCTATGGTTTCAGAAAAATTTTATTAAACATTTATAATGCAGATTTAACAGTTAAAAATTCTGAAAATACAGAAAGATGTGTAGAAAAGTTCAAGACAAAAATCATCCTAAATCTTCTCATTCACATCTTGCTACATTTTGTGTGTGCATTTTTATGTACATAATATTGGATTATATTGATTATACTGTATTTTTTATATATAATTTTATAAAAAATATCTTTTATTGATTTTCTACAGAGAGGAAGGGAGAAGGATAGAGAGCTAGAAACATTGATGAGAGAGAAACATCGACCAGGTGCCTCCTGCACACCCCCTACTGGGGGTGTGCTTGCAACCAGTATACAAGCCCTTGACCAGAATTGAACCTGGGACCTTTCAGTCCACAGGCCAATGCTCTATCCACTGAGCCAAACCTGTTTCGGCTGGGACTCCCATAATTCTGATGTTGGTTCGCTTGAAGTTGTCTCAGAGGCTTCTTACATTATCTTCAACTTTCTGGATCTCTAGTCTTCTTGCTTCTGCAGAAGTGTGTCCTCTGGCTCTTTATGTTCCAAATCTATGACTTGATTCTTGCGATCTTCCATTCTGTTTTTAGGATTCTGTATAATATTTTTTATTTCACACAATGTATTCTTTATTTCTAGTTGATCCCTTTTCATATCCTCATAGGTCTCATTTATTTTATCAATCTTTTCTAGGAAATTCTTGAAAAACCTTATAAGTGTGGTTTTCAACTCTATATCCAGTCATTTCTTGTCCTCCATTTCTTTCGTTTGTGATCTGTTTCCTTGTCTCGGCTTTTTCGCAGCTTTCCTGAGTTGGTAGAGTGTCTTTGTATGTAAGGTGTCCTATATGGTTCAGTGAGTCAGCCTCCCAGTTACCTGAGGTGGACACTCTTGGTGCACCCCTTGTGGACTGTGTATACAGCCTTGTTGTAGTTAAGTCTTGATTGTTGTTGGTATCACTGGGAGGAACTGACCTCCAGGCCAGTTGGCTGAGAGGATCAGCTGTGTCTATGCCGGGAGCCAGTCATATTCGAGTAGACTTGGAAAATTGCAAAAGCATCTGTGCTCAGCTTGGATGGGGTGGAGTTTCAGGCTGGAGCCTACAGCCTTGGCTTCCCGTCAGCCCCGCCCTATGAGGTTCCTGAGTCTCAGTGTTCCTCAGTGGCCTTTGGTTCTCAGCTGCAAGCACCTCTGAGAGGAAGGTGCTACCAGACAGTCTAGTCTCTCCCCCAATGAGTTCAGTGCAGTTGGAACTAGGGTTGGAAGGGGGGTTCAGAGCAGTCTGGAGCTTTTGTTTCCTTCCCACTAGGGTAATCCAACGGCACAGTCAACAGTCTGTCCTCTGCGCTCAACTTGGGTGTCTCCGGAACAGCCTTTCGCCGCTCCCCTGAGTTTCCACTTTACAGCCCAGATTCCCTTCGTATGAGACTGGGTCCTCAGGATCTGGCCTAGAACTGGGGTGCAGTGCAGTCGGAACTGGGGCTGAGCACAGTCCAGAGCTTTTGTCTCTTTCCCACTAGGACAATTAGCAGCAGAGTCAACAGTCCATCCTCTGTGTGTAATGAGCGTGACTACGGGACTGCCTTTCGCCGCTCTGCCTTACAGCCTAGATTCCCTCTGTATGAACTGGAGTTCAGCACAGTCGGAGCTTTTATCTCCTTCCCGCTAGGGAACGCCAGCCAGGCACTCAGCCACCCCCTCCTCTCAGGCTCCGTCTTCTCCCCTTGTGCGCATCGTGTCTATGTACCCTCTTAGGCTTTTATAGCTATTCTGATTTTTCTTCTGGTTTTCTCTTTCCTTCTAGTTGTAGAATTTCCAGTCAGTCAACTTTCCTGTAGTTCTGGATAATGTCCATTTTGTATTTTAGTTGTATTTTTTTTTTTTTTTTTTTTTTTGAAATTGTTGTGGGAGGCTGCAGTTAGGCGTTTACCTATGCCCCCATCTTGGTTCCTCTTTCAGCTTCCATGAGTAAATAATTTTTGACAAAAGAGCCACAATCATACAATGGAGAAAAGAAAATTCCTTCAATAAATCATACTGGGAAAATTTGAAGAATCGAAGAAGATATTTGCAAACAAGACCTCCAATAAGGGGTTTATATCCAAAATATATAAGGAACTTCTATAAATCAAAAACAAAAACAAACAATCCAATTAAAAAATGAGTAGAGGACCTGAATAGAAACTTCTCCCAAGAAGACATACAAACGGCCAACAGATAAATGAAAAGATGTGAAATTTATCCAGCTATTATGGAAATGCAAATTAAAACTACAATGAAATACCACCTTACACCTGTTTGATTGCCTATTATCAATAAGACAAGTAATAATGTTAGAGTAGCTATGGAATACTTGTACACTGATGATAGGAATGTAAACTGGTATAGCCACTGTGGGAAACAGTATCGAGATTCCTCAAACAATTAAGAATAGAGTTACCATATAACCTAGCAAACCCTCTTCTGGGTATCCAAAAAATTTGAAAACATTTATTCAGAAAGATATATATATCCATATCTTCATTGCAACATTATTCACTATGGTCTGGATAGGGAAACAACCCAAGTGTCCTTCGCTAGATGATTGGATAAATAAGATGTGGTATGTATGTATATGTAATGAAATACTATTAGCTATAATTAAAGATAAGACATTGTAATTTGCGACAACAGATAGATCTTCAGAATATCATGCCAAGTGAAATAAGTCGGGTTAAAAAGACAACAATGATAGGATTTTACTATCAAATAAGACAAAAAGTCATAGATAAAGACAACGATATGGTGAACAGCAGTGGGAAAGGGATTTGGGGGGAAGGTGGAAAGGGTAAAGAGGGTCAAATTTATAGTGATGGAAGGAGACTTCACCTTGGGTTGACTTTCTCCTACATGACCAGAATGTGGCCATCAAAATCCAGAAATGAACATTTGTGCATTATTTTTGTATTTCACAGATCTCATTATTTCTCAAAGAAAAAGTTTCCAGTACTGTCTTTCATAGCCAAAAGATTGCAGAATGCATTTTGTCTTTTTAAGTCTCCTTTAATCTGAAATATAATCTCAGTTTTCCCCTGTTTTCTTTACCTTCAGAAGATTGCAGGCAGATATTTTAATAGAATATCCCTCTACTTGGATTTTTTCCTTTTTTTTTTTGGTTTCCTCATGATTAAATTCAGATTATATGTTTTTGGCAGGAATATCATGGAAGTGATGCTGAGTTCTTCTCAATACATCTTAGCAGGTGGTACATGATTTTTCCATTATTGGTGATGTTACCTTGATCACTTGGTTAAAGTGATGCCTGTAAGATTTTTCCATTGGAAGGTTAATCTTTTCCCCCTTTATAACCAATAATTTTGCATTTTGTGGGAAGTACTTTGTATGTAAATATCTTGTTCCTTATGCCTTTTACCCACTAATTTCTAGCATCCTTTATTGTTTCTTAGCTTAATTAACTTATTACTGTGATAAATAGTAAGTGGTGCTTTTCTAATTCCATCATTTACTTTACATTCATCTGTTGGCATTCCTCGTTAAGAAGTAGATTTTTCCTCTCTCTAATTGTTTATATTAGTATTGACTAATATGGACTGTGTCACTATTTTGTTTTAATGGGTCATTTTTCATTACTTATGTTTATTTTGATGCTCCTAATACCTCAGGTTTGGCTGGTAGGACCTCTTCAAGCTATTTCTTTGTTTTTGACATGTTTCTACCATTCTCTGAGGAGTTCTTTAATTCTGACACATAGTATATTTCAGATTTCTATTGTGCCCTAGCCCTGGAATCACCATTTCTCCTTTTGATGAGAATTGATTTAGAAACCAACATGGGTACCAACATTGATTTTT